ATTGCAATAGTGGCATACTACGTTTGGGTTGAACATGTGCCTAGGTTGATAATAGCTAGGGGGCCTAACCATATTCATCCTATTTTGGGAAAATATTGGTTTTTGAAAACTCTCTCTTCTAGGTGTTCTAGCATTATTTTGTCTATTTGAAAAATTAATTTTATGCACAAAATCATTTTGATAGTTTTTCTTGGGTTGTGTAACATGCACATTTTCATTCCTAGGCTTTTGTCTAGGTTGTCTAGTGTCCTTAGGTTGACTAGATTTTCTATTATCCTGATTTTTATCAAAACCTATTCCTTCTTTAGAAAAATGCATGGTGTCAAGGAGTAAATTAAGATTTTTGTGCGGAGTATTAAATTTCTTAACCGTACTCTCAAGTTTAGTGACTTGTTCCTTTAAAACTTTACAAGATTCACATTCCTTTGAGGAACTTTCCGGTTTGTTGGCGCTTCTTTTGCCATAAAATTTATTTTCTTGTTTCAACTTCTCATTATCTTTTTCCAACTTTTCAAAATCATTTTCAAGAGTGGACAGGCGTTTCTTTAACGATTTGTTGAGTTTAGAAGCGCTAACAAATTCATCATAAAGTTCGTGAAGTGCTTCTTGCATTTCTTCAAAAGTGTAAGAGTCGGAAGAAATGGTACATACCTCTTGTACATCGTCGGTTTGGTCTTCGTGTTCCATGAGACAGAGGTTGGCAACTTCATCCTCATCTTGGTCGGTTGACTCGTCGCCTTTTGCCTTTTGAAGTGTCGAGCATTCCTTCCGCTTTTCGGGCATTTGTTCTAGATGTGCCTGGCTTCTCCACATCCATAGCACACAGGGCCATCCTCAACCTTTTCTTTCTTTCTTAGAAGTTTGCAGAACTTCTTCATGACAAGCTTGACTTCATCATCGTCACTTGAATCATCCATCGTTGATTCTTTGATGGCTTTTAGTGCTATCCCTTTCCTTTGGTCATTCAAAGACGGATTAAGAATAGTCGATTCATAGGTTTTTAGATTACCTCTTAGGCCATCGATGGTGACATTTGATGTGCCGATTGATTCATAGATGGCATCGGCCTTGGATCGCCATTCGGATGTCAAGCTCCGTAGGATCTTTCGCACAAGATCCCTGTCGGTGTACGTCTTCTTTAATGCATGAAGATCGTTGACTATCTTGGA